ATATATATATATATAAAGTGTTCACGAAGGAAACATCACTTTGAAATCGCCGATATAAATCGTTTTATCTTTGCTTCATCCTTTATTTCAAGGTGCACTTCTTTCGCCCGGCGGTCCTGGGTTGAACGGCTCTGATCAACTTGATGATGTGGCTCACCACGACATCTTTATCCCACAGCCCATCGAAACTTCGCAGGTGAGTTTCTCGGCTAGATCATGAGTTTCAGTTGTATAGGGTTCTTACGATTAAACGGTGTCACATGGCCTCTGTAAGATGCCCAGAAGATTCCAAATCCGTTCCTAGTTTTTATTGCGTTTTACGAATGGAGGGGGTAAGTAGAGTAATAAGTAGTAAGCAGCAAAAGTAGTATGTAGAGCCAAAACAGATAAACCCATCCCCCCACAATGGAACATTATTCCAAACCAATATTATCTAATCTGTATATATATTCTCTAGTACGGGAGCTTCGAGGAAGCTTACACCCCTCTTGGTCCCTTTCTGTTCTAACTCCAGGTGCACTTACCGAATGCCATGAAAGGCCTAATCGATCGTTTCGCTCAACACTGTCATGATTCTTGGGCATTGGAATTGATCGAACAAGGCTACACCTTCGGACCAGTTGTAGACGAAGTCAAGCGGACGCACCCAAACCTGTGCAGCTTCGCCAACTTGCAGGAACATGTAAGCGTCTGGGATGTTTTTGGTCTCAACCAAAAGTCTTGGGTCACCAGACGGACGACGGTTTGTGTACTTCTAGCTTCCAACGATCTACTAATGCTTCACTACATCCAGGTCTTCACAAGCATCAACTTTCAGTTGTTTGTTAGGAAAAACAAAAGAAAGAAGGGAGATTCGTTTCTTCTATATTTTTTTCAACAACATCATTTCTTATTTTTCCTGCGTCCATGGGAATCAACCCGCCATCAATCATAATCTCTGTTGTATCTCAAATTAGGAGCAAGCACGTTACATTCAACCGGTCACGGATACGTTGAAAGCCATGTTCGCCCTCGGTTGGTCGGTCGACGCCGAAGACGCGCGACATCATGATTCAACTGCCGATCGGAATAACATTCGTCGGTCAACCATCACTGTGAGTCAAATTTTGCGGCAAATCATTCATTCGGGAGAGCATTTGGTGGCATTTTTTAATTTGTTAGTGAAATTCTCATGAGAATCATTCCGGTTAATGAAATTGCTGGTGGCTCAGGTTGCTGGTGCCGAAAACTGGGTGCTCCAAACTTTGATCCACATTGTCTAAAGCCAGCGTCGTCGGGATGTCATGTCAGGAGGCGTTTCTATGGCCTGTCATCGGCTGTTTACAGGTGATAACTCAAAAGTGCTCTTGCTCCGGAGTTTGTTAGTCGACGTCCACATCACACATTGAGCTTTGAAGGCATGTTTCTTCGGGATCCGTAGAGTCGTCTGGTGGGCTCTCATTTCTTTAAGTGGGGAATGTTGACCGTAAAGATAAGAGGACGGAAGACCATTCTCAAATCAATCATCCTGGCAAAGCAGTGTGAAGAAAGGAACCAGTAAAAAGATTTCGAGTCCTGTCCCCTTTTTAGATGCTGAACTAAACGAATCCAAACAAGTGATTCGTCAATACGAGACGCAGGTAAATAACTGTAGCTGATGAGAGTGAACCCATGTATTTTAGGAGACATGTAACTCGACTGCCTACAAAGTTAGTTCCATTGCGTGAGGATAAACGAGAGAAAAGAAACTGGAAGTTTGGTCTTCATGAGAGACTCAACTTAATCTCTCGTTTATGATATTCTACAACTGGATGTGCCGCACACAGGCCGCCATATGATTCAGTTGGTTTGCAAATGAGTGTATTTGTCGAAAACAGTGCAATTTGGGTTCAAGTAGATCATAAGGTTGACGGAAACTCGGGGACTGCGCCTACCTGATGGGTCCCAAGAAGGGCGAAACCAGTCGTGAGCTGTCGAAGAGATCCCAGCAACCTTGTGTGTAGTTTCCCTTATGAAAGCTGGAAGTTATTTCTCCGTTTCCTTGGAGGCCGCGGAGTCGGGGCGTGAAATGGGACACAGTGCTTATACAGCCATCAGTGACTGGCTCGTGGAATTCAACTAGCTTTAAAACATCTACGGTCAGTTATGACATAGTAGAGTGGATGAGCTATTCGCCAACCAGCTAACAATCTAACTCCTTTGCTGTATTAATAAGAAACTTGTCTCCGAATGGCTGAAGTGATTTCTATAGGGTATTCGGACGTATATCCACAAAGCCCTGAAGAAGCACACTTTGAAGTTTGGAACACTTTGGTCTTGCCGGTGAGCTTCACTGAATATGGGTGGCGATGGTTCTACTCTCTTAGCTTGTACCAACGTACTCACACAGAGCTCCAGCCGAGTTTGTATTCCACGTCGACGCCATGATTACAGTCGTCAGAATGGGGAGCAGTTCCCTGCATGAATAGGCCCATATACTTAACTCCGATCAGTGTTATCAGGAAGGTCAGATTCTTGAATATAACCTCAAACGCCCGGAACCTGCTGCTCCACCAAAATCTCAACAAGAAAGCCGGCAAGCATCCAGACCAGTCAATCATTCAATCAATTCAGCAAAAGCTGATGAGTGTTCATGCACGCCACAGGAGCATGACCGAATGTGATCAGCGTTCAAGCATTTCATAGAGGCACGATCGATGTTGATGGGTGTTCACTAACGCCTATCAGACAGCCTGGAGCCGTTGTAACTTTTGTTCGCACTCTCACTCACTCGCTTGTTCGGAATACAGCTGTTGTGTTCCCTTCTGTGAGTCTTTTCTCTCCGACACTAGGCACTGGAGCGGGTCAGCAGCGGATACCACAGATTGACGAATCAGCAGATATAACAACTGTTGTGTTCCCTTCTGTGAGTCTTTTTTTCCGGCAGCTAGGCACTGGAGCGGGTCAGAAGCAGATACCACAGATTGGTGAATCAGCAGATATAACAAATGTCTTGATAACTAAGGCGGTTTCGGTCATCCAGTTTGTTGTGACTGCTAGCAGGCTACTGATACGCTGCCTGATACTCTCGGATAAAAAGACAACGCGAATGGCTGGGAAATGGTGAACGCCGTTTTCATGTGATTGATAATTTTGATCTAAACAAGACACAAATGAATCAATAGTGCATATAGGTTAAGCAGGAACATGATCGGCGTGGACAAACCGCCGGATATTGCGGCGAATGAACTGACATGGAGACAGACAGGTGAGTGCACCGGAGAGCGCTCAAATCGCTACCCGGTACACTGGTCTAAGTTAGTCTAAACGCGGGTGGAAGCTCTTGTCGGTGCAGTTACTCTCTTGATGACTTTACTCGGTTAGGTTGTGTATATCTGTGCGCCTCATAAAACGTTTATCCGACTACCTGTCGACTCCCAGATACGCACCATACTAAACGATTCCCCCATCTGTCTCCCCCGTGCTGAAGGCGGACGCTTCATACAACCCAAGTCCAGGTGATCTGCGTGGAGTGAATGTGTCCAAGGAGATGATCAATCTGGCCGAACGTCTGGCCGACAATGCACACAACATATGGGCAAGGCAAAAGATGCATGATCTGGAAGCGATTGGTAGGTAGACTCACCGTTGATTATTCTTCACAGTAGTGATTGTGAGAGGATGACAGGAAACCTCAGAGGTAACGCTGTTCTTATTGGCAATGTTGCCCCTGGTGAGATAGACATCTATTTGAAGTGGAGTAGATTTCGCTACAGCTACTTTTAACAGGTAACTACTCAGCACGATATTACCTACTTATAAGGGAAACCAGTGAATAGCACTCATATTGTTTCTTCACGGTATTTTTATTCGGTTTGTGAACAACGCTGAAACGAAGTCAGAATAATACAAGGGCTTTCAACCTCCACTTTTTAACTGAAGTAGCGTTGCGCAAATTGTCACGATCATTCGAAGAACGCATTGCCAGTACACTGAGAGATAGATTGCGTCATGCAAGGTTGTGAAAACTTGTCTTGGAATCGGAAGAAAACTCCTCTGTGGGACCAGATTTATTTTCTTAGCTTTTGAGTCCTCATTCCATCGTTTCTCAATGTCTTTATGGTTTTGAACCAAAATTCATAGCTGACAGTGACCTGCAGAGGATGCTCTCATGAACTCTTGGCCATCCTGCCCTGAATCGATTAGATGCGTGACCTTGGTCTTTCTGGTCAGGAGAAGCTATCAGACACGTGACACAAGCCTAACAAATAATTGGAGCTGCGTTCAGCCGCAAACTGATGGCCACTTGCCTTGCATTGGCTTGTTTTTTGATGAGTAGAACTCACTCCGTTTCGCTACCTATAATAAGGGCCATAGGTTCAAGGTCACGGATGGAGCTTTCAATCACCTTCATCTGAGTATGACTTTACGGAGGCACACTGTTTCCGGTTCGATGATTGAAGAATTCGCTAGTGCCGAGAACCCATGTTTGAAAAAAGTCGGCTTGGAAAATTCGTTGACTTGAGGAGTTTCCCTATGAAGAGAACACTCTACTGGTCTGTAGGTGAGGACAAACATGTGAAAATTTGAGTTAGTACTTGTAACAGGCTGACGTGATTGTGTGATTGAATGAGGATAGTCTACATCGGAGTCTTGTTAGCCAGGCACCAATCACATTAGGGGGGAGAAAAATGATGTTCCACCTGTGATAAGGTCGTTGTCTGTGAAGGTCTTGACTGAACCACCTGCCGAGGCTCAAGTGCCGATCAGATGTTTGCCTGCGTGATGTGATCACTCATGAATACTTGTGAATAGTTTGGAAGAGATGACTGATGATGCCTTCATCTCTCGGTTAAATTGAAAACCTTCGTGCGGTTGAGCATTTTAGAATGCAATAGCCTAGTTGGGGGTATCAGGTTTTCGTTTCTATCGCGCTGAGAGCCAGTCTAATCGAAGGGTAGGAACTGTTTTGACAGGGAGTATGTGGTACTCAAATTAGTTAGCAAGTTTATTTTATCGTTTCATGACCTTCTAGGGTTTTCTTTCACCCGTCCTTTAAGTACCATCTTTTGTGTCCTTCACTTCGCTCGTGGTTATTCAGCTTGACTGAAGGACGGTAATTCTGATCACTGAGAATAATCCAAGTCATACGTGACTAAGTTGGTGATGCTGTTTGGTTGGACCGTGGTTTCTTTGGTGCCTTTGTTCATCTTGGTTCTATTGGACAGTTTTGCACTCAGTTTGGGAATTCGTGCTGGCCGTTGTGATGGTTCCGACGTATTTGTTGACGCTAGCTGATACTAGGCACTCGAGTAAAGGATCATTTGAGGTGAAATTACCTGAGCAGTATTCACCTGGTTCATTGGTTAAGCAACTTTAAGATTCGCTGATCTTATTGCACATAATCAGCAAAGTTGAATAGACAATAATTTCAATAGTACTGTTATTTCTCCCTCCTTCACTGTCGCTAGACTTTTCTCCAAAAATTGTTCCCTCACTTCCCCATCTTCCACAATCCAGGTGGCGGTGTACACCAGCTGCTAGTTCCCTACGAGATTCTCACAGATAACGAACGGAAACGCTACCGTCGTCTGACGCATGAACTGATAAAATATTTGCAATACCATGGGTACCGCATGTCATTCAGATCCGGCGGGGCGCAACAGCAGAGTGCTCAGGGAGGTGGGGGCGCTGGAGGAGCGACTGCCGATGCAGGGAGACCAGCGGATGGACATGGTGAGTAGCATTCACGCAGGCTCCTTTCTCTCATGGACATTTGAGTGTTTCCCCTGTCGCGTTTCGTTTTCTGTTGTGGGTGTAACTTTGCCCTTCACAGATGGTACTCAAGCGCGGAAGAATCAAAATGTTGTAGCTTAAACTCATCGGTTTGATGCAGGTCAATCAGCCAGACACGACTGGATCATCTGGAGGGCCGTGTTGTCCGGCACAGCAACAGTGGCTGGCATATGCAAAGTGGAAATGTAATATTGAAGCATGTTTTTTGAGATTGATCATTATCACTTGGAGATCACATTAGTTCTAGTCCGCAAAGAGAACTCCTTGTTGATAAAGAAAACTACTCACAAGGTTGCTGAAAGCCCTTCTACAGCCCACGACCGGTTTCGTCCTTCTTGGGTCTCATCAGGTAGGCGCAGTCTCCGAGTTTCCGTCAACCTTATGATCTACTTGAACCCAAATTGGACCGTTTTCGAGAAATACACTAATTTGCAAATCAATTTGTTTTTCACGAGACTCAACTGAATCTTTCGTTTATGATATTCTACAACTGAATGTGCTGCACACAGGCCGCCTCACGTTTCAGTTGGCACGATATTCGAGATATCGCAGTGTGTTTTCATGAAGGAAACTACTCAGAAGGTCGCTGAAAACGCTTCGACAGCCCACGACCGGTTTTTCTATTTTCCGATTCGGGCTCATCATGAACGAGAGATTCAGCTGAGTCTCTCGTGAAAACCAAATTGATTTGCAAATGAGTGAGTGTATTTCTCGAGAACTCCCCGTTATTTACGCTCCGTTCATTCTCCGAAGGAATAACGAGTCCATCGTTATTCGAATACCTGTAAGCAATGTATTTCCATATGTTTCTCCTTCATTATTTTCAAAGTGTAACGGTACATTCATCATTCTGTCCGAACAGCTTCCAGATTCGCCTATGGTCTTTTGAGCAAGCTACTGGATTATGTGGAATCCGCAATGTCCTCTGTACACGAGACCATGCCGAGTACGCGCTTCAGTGCTTCACGCACTTGTGTCACATCCAGTCATGATATGAAATTCTTCGTCAAGGTGGTTCTCCCCCTGGTCGAACGGTACTTTGAGACACAACACTCCTACTTTTTGGATCCGCTGACTGGAGCTTCGCTGGAGGAGAAGAAAATGGCTGCAACGTAAGTTGTTTGTGGAACCTACCTGCAACGTTTCGCAAACGATAAGTGAACTTTTGACGCTGGTTGATGTTTCATTTCACTTGTAGACTTTTCTGCAAACTGTTCTCTCTCCTTCGGGCGAAACTGAGTGCATTTGGACACGACGTCCAGATCGCTGTGTCGTGCTTACAAGGACTGGTTCAAACGATCGATGTCAAGTAAGTAACTGTTTCTAAAACGTTGTATCTGACCGATTAAATTTGTAGGCAGGTACCATTCTGGCGATGTAGGGTAGTTTTGCAGATCCATGTTGTGAACAAGAAAAAGTTTTGGGCACAAAAGGCTATTTAGCTTCACTAGCGTGCTATCATATTCGTGTCTGTCGTCGAATTTCCGCGGTATCAGGATAAACGCCCCCTCCACTTCTTGGATCGTAAAAGAAACTTTCTCATCTGAAGAGATTTACACATTTACTGTCGATCGGGTGGTAAAATCCGGATCTTTTCCGGATAAGCCCCGCCAAAAATTAACCCTCGCCAACCAAAAAAGATTAGAAAAAAGAGGATATGAGATTTGCCTCCAAACGAACTCACACAAGTAGCTGTCCACTAAAGATCGGTGTGTGCCGCATTGGCTTTTATTCTGTATCTTGTGGACGTGTCAAAGAGATTCGATGGTTTCTGTGTGATCCACAAAGTTTTCGGTATGATTAACCGTTTTGTGAGTATAATTCATGTCAATCATCGTTTCCATTCTTTGGTATGATGCCCACATATCGGAGATGATGAGTGAGCCGAGAGCGACGCAGACCCTGGATTGTGCCATCAAAGTGGCCGCAGATCGATCTGGCCCCGCATACATGAACACCTCTTTAGTTTCCCGGCAGATCTCTACGAAAATCCACTGCTGGGGAAGGGCTCGCCCCGCGTGGTTTTTAGGGCGAGATATTAGCGTTACATCGATCTCAACGTGTAGACCTTGGCCGCCGATAACTGTTGGCGTCTGCAAAAGCCGCCAGGAGCAAACTTCGCGAAGAAAGATCTTCCAGTCAACAGCGTCCGTGTGGCTACTAGATAATTCCTCTGAGCAGAATTTGATTTTTTCCAAATTTTTGGACCAATAAATGAATAGGTTTACTGTTCTAAACTCCATTCTTGACCGCTCCAGCCAATTTCCTTTCGAAAGCTGATTTCTTGCCGACACTGTCAGGTATTACACCTTCACCTGTCAGAAACAGTTGAAAGTGTCATTTGGTGGCTTTTGTTGCATAAAGTTGCTGATGGATCACTCCGTGGCTTTGCAAAAAACGTATTGCCGTCTCATTATCACGAACGAGAGTTGAAAGCGTTAGAAAGTTCATTCAAGGTTTTACGTCCGAACGGAGAAAATTTTGGCACAAAATGAGCCTAGACGCGGATAAGGAATTGTTTTCATCAAAAATAGGTCAAGGTTATGTGCGTACGATAAATTGGAGCTTGCCAAGAGTGATGGGGCTTAACTTTTCGCACATGCACTTTTTTGCATTAGTGTGGGGGGTGGCTTATCTGGAAAAGATCCTAAAATCCACCGCACATCATTGTTCATGACCAGTTTGGGTAGGCAGACTCGGTATCTTCATGGGACCTGAGTTTGTCAGACGGATATCTATACTACACTGTTCCGTAGCGCTGGAATGGATGCGAGCTTGGGACATTTTATGAAACATTCTGGCACTAAAACTGGTTAAAATAAACGGACAGACAGTCTTAAGGTTTGAAAAGATCATAGCGATATAGAGGAGAAAATAGTCAGTCAGGATGTGGAGCACTTTTCACATCGGATACTTTTTCAGCTTTCGTTCACCCGCTGAAAACACCAACAAACACTTTGTGGCATGTTGAGTTGGCATCTTCATGATGATCGAAACTTCTGTACTTGTATGGTCATCGCAGCCAACTTTGACCGATTAAGGGTATACAGCGATTGTGTGGTTCATGCTTGTTATAACTGCACCACCCTTTTTTGGAAACAAGCGTTGATGATCGGGGCACCGGTGTAACGATTGATACTACTGGTCAACCATACGAGTAGTCTATGGTTATCGGCCAAGCTCCGCCCCTTCAATTTTGAAAGACTATGCGCATATGAGATGTTTACTTCCCTGTCTAATGACTTGTAACTGCTTTGTTCGTGTTTGCTGATAACTAAAAAAATGTTTCACACACCTGTGTTAGTCAGCAAAACTGACAATTTGTGAAATTCTAGTGAGTACGCACTAGGGGGGAAGCGCTGGAATCGAGTTTCGCCCTTATTATGACGGCTCATCAGCAGTGCGTGTTCTTGACCTCCCGGGGGCTTGAATTTCGGACATCTGACATGTGGGGTAACCATGTTACCAGCACTCCATCAGCGCACGCTGGACGAATACGAATTTTCACATCTGAACGAGCAAACGTGACCACGCTTTAGCGACGTGACTTGTGGACCCGACCAGTCGAACGGCGACCCAGTAACTGTCTCGGTTGTGATGACCCGCCTGTCAGGACTTTCCAACCAGGTAGCATCATAGACACTTGAATCCCGCTGGACAGTTTTTGATTTTGTTGTGAGCGGTTGCAGGACTCGTAGTATTCACATTCACAACCGTTCTCCTGTACTGGTGTAATCGTTCTGATGGGTCCACACTGGTGCTTCCCCCCATCACCCCTCTTTGGTGTCGACTCACCGGAATAATTTCGCCAGGACATGGAAACGACTGTCCAAACTAGTGTGATGTGAATGGGAACACTGGAAATCCCGCAGCCACCCGCAACAAAAACTTGTGATACCAAGTCTAGTTATGTTTTAAACCGAAAAAGCAGTGTTCAGCTTCCTGCTCAGCTGAACAACACACCGACACATGCGGTAAGTGGGCCCCAGGGACGGTGATTTGAGTAATGCATGTTGGATTGTTCGGGGATGATATAAGGGAATATGCAATCGAAAAATGCTTTGAGGAAGTCAGACAGGTGCCAACAGGCGAGAATGCGGTCATAACGGGTGTCGATGCAATGGTACTGTGCCGTTCAGATGCATTCCTCGTTCCACTCCCATCGACCCTGAGTTGCAGCCCATCCTTGGCCCCACATTCTCAAAGCCAAGCATCGGCATGCTCCCTTCGATTGTGGACCACTGGAAGTTTTTTGAGGGCGGATTTGAAAATTCGTTGAAAATTCAACATTACCATGAACCAATAAGCAGCTCAGACAAAGAGTAGTTTCACCGGATGGATGAAACTTCTATCTGAGCAGTCATCACTCGATGAGTGATTCAATATGTGACCACATGATATGGTTTCATTTGTTGGTGGATGAGTGGCGCCTAGTCCTGTCTGTGAGAGTGAATCACACCGCTGATCAGTCACTCGTGGTCAAGCGCTGACCGGAAGATCGCCGGTTCGAAACTCTGAGTTCCGTGAAATGCGCACTGCGGATGAATCCCAACGAGAGTGAAACAGCTCTACACTGCTTTTCAGCACAACTCGGTTCCACTGACAGGACGAAGTCGCTATTGAGTATCACGAAATCTCCTCACATTACCATAAAACCGTCAAGTTTTCTTCACTTTGATGACTCCCAATATGTGGACTAATATGTGGTAAACAAATAACGCTGTTGACTTGCTTTTGCAGAGCAATCCTCAAGATGGGCACCGCGGAAGACTTCATTCGAAGCAGACTACTACCCTTTTTTGTCAACTGCGCAGACGATCTGTGTGTTTTGCTTCGAAACTTGGACAATGCGCGATATTCACACGTCAAGGTAGGCCACTCATCTTCATCCCCTACAAAAATCTACCTATACGAGCCACTCCCCCTGCTGCGTGAGCTACTTCAGTCTCTGTGATGACCTGAATTCCCATTTCTTCTTAGTTCTTAAACAGAAGTTAGGCACTGGAATGTATGCTATGCGTGTAGTTCTTTGGCAATATTGAGTTTCCTATTGAAGTTGCCCTTCTGTTATTGCTATTTTTATTGGTTGCCGTCTTCCTGGATGGGGACCCCGAGACTGGCCACATCAGTGGCTAGAGACATTGTCAGACATGGCCCAGTCGCGCCCTCAATGGCGCTCGTGCATCCAAGCTATTGCCTTCAATGCATAGCTCCTTTTCCAACCCCCCACTTGACAGCCCACTGACAGTGCTGGATTTATGAACCAATTTGTCACCTCCCGTCTGCAATGCG